AAGATAGTTTGAGAGGACGAGCCATGGTGAGTTTGAGTGTTCAACTTGTTAAATGAAGTTGCATGTATTTATAGGAAGCATGAGAGACAACTTATCAGCTATCGGTGAATCAATGTGAAGAAACTTTAATATAATTTTAATAGGCATATGTCTTAGTTTAGTCTTGTACTTTTTGTCCTAGTAATACATTCAGTCATAAAAACGTGATTGAGCAATAACGCTTTCTCTTTTTCTTTTTCTTTTTTTTAACACCCAGAAGAGTGGGGGTTAGGTCGGACCCCTAACATCTTTAGAACATTTAGGTCCTTAATTGAGAAAAAAAAAATTCTTTTGGACCCCGATTTGATAGCTTAACCTATCTTTCAGGCTTGTATTATTGAAATAAAAACTCCATAAAGTATTTATGAATTATTGTACTGTCTAAAATGATATTTGTATCATAAATTCAGTTCAAGTGGTAATATTATTTAATCTGAAATGATGTTTTATTAGAATTCATATTGAAAATCATACACATGGTTGAACCGGACTGCCATACAAGTTGCACTATTTTAATATATTATGTTTTTCGAAGAACGAAAAATAATAATTTCATAACTTTATGGATTATTATTTAAATAGCTATTTATTTATTTATTTTTTGGGTGAGATGATGAAAACTAAGATGGTAGGAAAGTGAAGTGCTTATTTGACAATTGCGAGTAAGTTAGTTACTAGTTACAATCAATTTAATGAATATATCATTCTCGTATCTCATTGAACATGCAATATTGATGATAAAAAAATGTTTTTTTCGGTACAAAAGAGGAAGGTTATTGTCTTAGACTACGATATTTCGAGGATGGGCTATCCCGAGAACATCATTATAAAAAAATGTTAATACAACTTGTTGCCATTATTCATCCTACTATTAATTCAAATCCGCTCTTATTCGATTTGAAATAGTGTGTTATTAAAATTCATACCATACATCATATACATGGTTGAACTTGCCACACAAGTTGTGCTATTTTAGAATGTTAATAAGATTCTATCGAGTATTTTTTTTTCAACCACACACTTTCATTAAAAAAAATAACACATAATTACAATCAGACAACAATCGGTTATAATCAAAATGAGCAGTCACACGGCTGGAACGCTTGGGAAGACCACCCAACTGGCATCCTAATCTAAATCGCACTACACACCACAAACTCCCAACGAGAGAATATTACCGAGAATAAAAAATGTTGATATAAACGAATATTAAAAAAAACCACTAAAAATATTGAAAGTTCCATGCATGTATGTTGAAGCCATCTTCCTCCACCAAACATTCAATGGCACATCAATGGAGAATTCATCAATGGTGTGCAATCCACCACCTTCTTCATTCACACTATTTTGTCAGTGGTGGTGTGCTAATTCATATCTA